AATACTCTCTGACTGCAGATCAATTACTCACTACCTACACATTATCCCGTCACGTTGTGACCATCTTATATATATACCAGGCCACCCCCAATCTAGCAAATGCTAGGGCACTCCCGAAGGAACAGGATATTTCTAGAAAACGGGTGGTGTGATACTAGTCACATGACCTCGCTGACGCAACAATATATTAAGTGTGTGTGTGTATGTATATATATATATATATATATATATACCTAAACTCCTCCTAAACCGTTGGTCGTACCGACTTCTAAATGGTACCAAACGAATCGTCTCGGCTCGAGGTTTGCACAAAGGTAAAACTTTTTAGGGAACCCAGATATTTCGCGTAAACACTTTTACATGGATTCGTCGAAAGCGGTTCCAAAATTTGGCATTGATTTACATTAGAGCACATAAATAAATAGGCCTATTAATTACCGTTCATAACTTGGTTAAAGAAATAAAACTTGAATTATAGTGACAATGATCATTAAACTGAAAAGTACAAAGTAGTTGTTCAGACTATAATTTTGCATTATAGTGGCCCTGTAAATGTGGGTTCACTAGTATGATTATAATTTTGATTAGTTCCGGGTATTAATAGAATCAAATAATCCTTTAAAGGTACTTAAATAACCTTAATAAAATCGACCATTATAATGCGACTTTAGCAGTAGGAAACCTGGTAACCATGCGTCAAGTTGATTCATATATTTTACAAACAGCTATAAGTAATCGAAAAGTTTTGTTTGATTGTTACTTTTATGAAAACCAATTGACAAATTTCTTTAGTGATTTACTTTTTTCATTGTCAAAAGTAATGAAGCTTGTTAGAACAACAATTTTTAAACAGAAGTTCTAGTCGTTATTTATAAAGGAATATAAAATGGGAAATAATTTAATGTTTCACAGAGAATCAAGTTGGAAAAAAAAACAACGAATAGAATTTTACAAAGATAATTATATATATGCTATTTATTGATAAAACTTGTAATACAATTAATTAAAATCGCCCCAAATATTTTATTATTTTTTAGGTTATCAAGGTGTTTTCAAGAAACGAACAGAAGGCAAAACAGATGGATGTGCAATTTTTTTTAAAACAAAGTTATTTTCCATCGAAAAGTGTATACCGGTCGAATTCTACAAGCCACGTATTTCAAAACTTCTGGACAAAGATAATATTGGATTAATTGTGGTACTTCGACCAGTGATTGGAGTAAGTAGCGACTACTCTGGGAGTTTAGTCATCGCTAATACACATTTATTGTACAATCCTGTACGCGGAGACATTAAACTTGCCCAGTTGTGTCTATTTTTGTCTGAAATTGATAAGGCTGCATACCGTGGGCTCAGTAAACGCTCCAAACGCCCAATGTACAATCCTATAATTTTCTGCGGAGACTTAAATCTTATTCCTAATTCTCCACTGTACACGTTAATTGTTAAAGGAGAGCTTTGGTTCAATGGCCTCTTAGCAGGAGATATGTCGGGCCAAGAATTTGGAGCCGGGAAAGGAAGACGCCTTGGATCTATAAATTTACCTGGTCCTGATGAGAGTACACCTGAAAAAGCTTGTCATTTGTTAAATTTGTTATCTGTTTACAACTATGAAAGCCCCGAGGAAGAAAAGAAAGTTACAACCTTTAATAATAATAATACCAGCCAATCCGTCGATTTTATCTTCTATTCCGTTGAAGATAAACTGAGCATATTGCATAAAGGTAAGGTCTATCACGAGCACGCTAATGAAAAGTCTTTGAAACTTATTGCACACTACAATCTGCTGACTCATCAGCAGCTGAAAAGCACTGGAGGTTTACCTAATTTCCAAAACTCTTCGGATCACTTGCCTCTCCTAGCTAAATTTTTACTTCGAGATTTATAAGCTTGTGAAAACAAACACAAATAAAGCCGTTAAATAACTGTTGCTGAAAATATGAAAATAAGTATCACACTAGATACGTAATCCTTGCCACACTGAAGACACTAGTAAAATGTGTGAGGAAATCTGATCTAAGCAATGGTTGTCGTGCTCTAAAAAACCGTGTATCCCAGATTTATATATATATGTTAGTTCATTATAAACATATTTAAATTGAATTGGATATAGATATTGTTTAGAAAAGCAAGTTTTAAAATTAGAAATACAAGAACAGGAAACCTTAGGATCGTTTTCCATAACATTGTCTTCTCTGAAATGGAAATTTTATTTTGTATTTGATGCGTATGCTGCATCAATTGGAACTTTAAAACAGTTCATCAAACGATACATCTACATTTTGTATATTTTAGGCATGTTTTACTGAAGAAACTAAGGATTCTTAGTTTTATTCGTTTACAAACCCAATTAAAAACAAAACATTTACATTAATTTCGCACATCCATAAAACTCAATAAATCAGTTTTAAGATAAGTCAAAACTATATTTTTAGAATATTTTTAACTCATAAAAAATGTAATGTAAAAAATATGTTTCACCATATCTTTCAGCCGTATACGGAGCAAATCAGGCTCATTGTACTAGTTTTAGAAACAAAGGGAACAAATAATTTAGATATTTATATTTCAAAGCCAATTTAATTATATTTGTTAAGCTAATTATATAAAAAATTGCATGTTAGGAAATTGAATACAAACGTACAAAGAACTTACAGTTTGACGTGTAAAGGCTCAGCAGGCCCTTGTTAGGTTAGAAAGTAGCAGACTTTCTCGTGCCCGTAAAAGCTGCTCGTCATCAGCTCTACTTCCCTTACCAAAGTCATCATTAGAAACCTCACAATTACACACAGAGTTCGCGTGTTTTTCCAACAGTGGAAGAAGTCCAGAGCTACAGAGGTTGAGTATGTCCAAAATTAAAGTCGCTCCACTCTGTACTTTTTATTTACTAGCCAAAATTGTCGTTTCCTGTAGAAAAAAAACCTAAACTCTCAAATGTACGTAAGATTTGGATAAAAACCCTATTTTTGCCATATAATTTTGTTAAGATATGTTTGGTGTTGACGAAGTGAAACTGATATTTAGTAATTCCTTAGAAAAAGTCCAATTCAAACTGTAATTTACTTCGTGCAAAAATAAGTAGCGTGTTTAAGATATAAAAGTCAACATAATGAAAAGGTTGAATACAATTTTGAAGCTTACCAATTCGTTACAATCCATATCGCTACGTCCAAACATGCTCTGTCTGAAGAACGTTCATCTTGACAACAGCATAGTTTTCATTACAAAGTTCCGTCGGAAGGCTATCATGTCCAAAACACACTCTTTCCCGTACTCTATCTAATGTAGGAGGACGATGGGTTTTCAGCGCCCGTTTCAACGGTAAAATCACACAAAATTTCATAGCCGCTGCGTCTAGCGAATCGACAGATATGTCTTCATATGAAATATCATGCGACTGTTGAGCAAATATGTCATGGAAGCAATTTGTGTACACGTGACTCGTGTCGTTTGCCAGACCCTTCTTGATTATGTTGTCTGGGGAACGCGGACAGCCTTTGCTACTGTGCTTGTGGATTCTTATCTGTTACAAGACTTTGATTATAGAGCTAGAGTATAATTTGTTGCAGTTCCATTTGTTGAGCCATATTCCTTTTTGTTTTCCAGTGCCGTTAAAAACAAGGATATTCACGTCTTGGAAATGCTAAATTTCCAATCCGTTGGAAAGGGGGCTGTTTTGCACTCTTTCCAAAAACGATCAGGAACATCACACTACCTACGTAATACCAAACAATGTCACAATGTAGTTCTGGTACATGTCGTTTTACACCGACTTTCTATCGGCTATAGTTGTCACAAGAATTGCTGATTGAAATTGTTTTAGTAGAACTTACTCAATAAATAACAACAAACGATGCTGTTTGTAGCTATACATAAGTCTAAAATAGATATCTAGCATTCGTATGATGAAAATAATTAAGATTTAGTAACCTTATCAAAACAGATTAACAAAAATAATTCAATTGAAAACAGTGTTTGGATTTATTTGTTTATGAGAGCAGCACGATTAGAATTGAAATGTTTGATAGGGCAGAACTGATGGAACATACATTTGTAACTCCAATTACAGCTTTCATTATTTTAAACAGCAAGATTTTCTATTATCAAGTAATTAGCTATTGAAAAAAAATCGAAAAATCTGTCAATTGACAAGAAAATGTTTGATAATAAATGTTTTGCATGAAATATTTCTTTGTGACTATTGTTAAACTCAAATAAAATATTCGTAATTTGCACTTGCATGGATTTCAGTGTTCTTTGTTCTATCTTTGTGTAGGAAATTGCAAATAAGTAAGTTGATCATGCATATTTAATATATGTTATAGCTAGAAGTTTGACAACGAAAATTGTTTTACAAATAATTGATTTCAGAACGTGTGGGTTTGTGCACAGTGTTACATATTAATTTCTTGTATTTTTTTAGAAATATATGATATTGTTACCAGTTTTATTTAAGAAAGGACTTGTATCGGTAAAGTTTCTTCGGAAAGAATTTTTACGGAAAATTAACTAACGAACGGAGGTGTAATAAATTGGTGTCAGAAAGTGGGATAAAAAAAAAGAAAAAGAGAAGATGGAAACAAGAAGCGGTAAATCAAACTACAGCTTAGTAGATTTGATGGCAGCAATACGAAAACAGCAAAAGAAACAAGAAGAACGAGAAAAT